TATCTTTCCCTGTTGTTGTTCAATTTTTCAGTCAATGAAACCCTAAAAAAAAATTTAAAAATTTCCCAAAATGAATTGAAAGATACCTAAAATGAGAATCTTATATGAAGTTAGGAAACCCGTTTCAATCACAGTTACAATTTATGTATTCATAATGAATCAAAAAAAAAAAGTAACAGATAAAACAACAACGATGGATACAATTCAATGTACATATGCAGTATAAAATTAAGTAAATCAGAAATTCTAAAAAATAGCATTTCAGAAAAAATTGTTCAAAAATCACTTAACCTTAGTTCAAAGATCTTTAAGCCTTTTTTTGTTTTGGAGGTTTTTTCTCTTTTCAACAAGTTTAGTCCTCCTCTTCGCCGATGATACAGCTTCAAAAAAAAAACAGCAGAGAAAAAACCTCACAGTGAATTTTTGGTATTATAAAGAAAATTTTTCTTTTGAATCAACAAAATAAACAACACCCAAAGATTAATCAGATTAATGGAGAAGAAAAAAAAAAGGAAGATATTTTATAAATGGTAATGCTAAAGCAGTTGTCAATAAATTTGTATTAGTTGTAAAAAAAAAAGAAAAAAAAAAAGAACTAAGAAAAAACACAGAATAAAGAATGAAAATTTTTTTTCAACAGAAAACAAAGTAAAACAGTGAGAACAAAAATTAAGGAGAAAATAAAAAGTGTTAACATCAGCGGTTATGTTTCTTTTGTTCGTTTTTTTTTTTTTTGGCATTATTGACACCCTGACATAGTGATACGTATCAAACACTTCTGAAAGTTCATTGCGAAAACATGTGCTGTTTATGTAGCCATCTTAAATATTCAAAAAATTTTATCAAGAATATTGATGGTTAGAGTTTAACTGAAAGAGGGAGAAAAAAAAAAACATGAAATCAATAATTGAAGGTTAGCAGCCCTGATTATTTCTTGCTTAGTCTAGCCAACAAATAGAGCTGCTTGGAGAGGTAGCAGCTACCTGACCATTCTTTGATGTTCGTTGCTGTCTATCCATCCCACTATACTTTAATTGCACATAGTCAGTCCAAAATAACTATAGTTTTTTTCCTCATTCTCTTAAGAATATTGAAAATCAGTCAATAGACATTAAGAAAAAAGCATGAAATGAAGCCTAAAAAATAGCTAGAACAAAACAAAACAAAAAAAGAAAGAATGCAATTAAAAGCTTAGTGATTGACCAGTGCAAAATGAGGATAAACCCAGGAAGAAAATCAATAGCAACTTTAAAGTGCATGAAACATCAGAAAGTATATATATTTTCAAAATTGTTTTTTTAACTGTCAAAATTATAGTTACCAGTATAATCCACAACTGATTGTAAAGTCACATACCATACCGAGCACAAAAAGCTCAACTATAAGCAAAAAACTACACCAATCTTAACTTTCAATATTATACAACAGCCGGCAACGATCAGTGTAAATACTCCTAACTCCTAAACAATTATCATCGTTCCGTTCACTGAACAGTTGGGTGAACGGTAATCAGCGATCAGTAAACTGATTTAACACTCTGACTACAGTATCAACAATATCATTATCAAAAAATTTTATTCCACTGTTTCAACGCTGACGATTCAAACTGTTGTAGTTGCTGACCATTGCTAGATGAACAAATCGGTCTAAAATTGCTTTCTACTATTAAACAAAATAGCATTTGCTTTAGCTACATATCTGCAGCTTTTTAAGAAATGCTGTTCTGCGTATATCTAATAAAAAAAATTTTAATGAAACAGAATGGAATATTATTGAAAATCCTAGTTTAAAGTACAAATCTATAGTATTTTTCCAAAAGATTGCTTTCTTTTGCTTAGCAAGTAAAATTCAATCATTAAGCAGCATAGAACTGAATTCAGTTTATGCAGCAATAAAACCGCTGTCATTATGCTCATTTGTCAAATGCAAGAAAGAACAGAGGAAAAAAAATATAATGTTGACATAAAAATTAATCATTATTCGTTCAGTATTTTGGTTTAATTTCTGAACACTAATTTTGACTCCGCTGATTTCTACAGCTAACTGTAATGGTAATAATTTTTTTTTGTAAAATAAATTAAGGATAACTTCTTTACTCCAAAATATTTATTGCACACCAAAACACAAAAAGTAAAGAACTTAATAACTATTTACTACATGAGGAAACTTTAAAATTTGAAGTTGAAGCACTTCTGTAGCACCTATAAACATTCCTTCCACATTACTCATGAAGATATCCTCTTACAAAACTGCGCATTACTTTAATGGTAAAGCTATTCTAAAAAATCAAAAGTTCAAATATGGATGGCTAAAACATTTCTGCGGCAAATACTGCATAAATAAAACTAAATTAGATCATTATCGTGTTATTCGCATAAAAACATACTCTGCAACATTTTTGCATCTAGTCTAAAGTACCCAATTACAACTACTTTCAAGTCTAATAAACCCTAATTTAGATTGAAATCCTCTACTGTGTTAAAAATATAAGAATTCCAATGGCTAGTCACATTCCCTGAACCAAGAACTAGTTCCTTCATCAAAAAATCCTCATTTTCCAGCCATAGGACTAAAACTTTCTATCTCAAAACCCACTCCAGTTTGTAAACAAATTATACGCAGAAATTTGAATAAGTGCTACGACCTTCCCGTCCTCTTCAACGAATGATTCCTCATCGTTGCTCAAAAAGGTAACTACTGTTAACCCCAAAACCACGACTTCAGTTACTTGTGTACATACTTTCCTGTTCCAATGATAGTTAACAAATGCACCTGAATTCCTCAATATTTATTAACATTTATTTAACAACTCCAAGTGTTACATTACCCGTAAAAATAAATAAGCCCTTAAACTCATCCAATATAAAAACTGATACCTTCTGGTAAACTCTTTACAGATACAACCACAAATTTAGCAAAATACAACAATTTCAACTGAGCCATTATCTCTAAAAAAAAATCCGTTCTCCTACACCAAAATAACTAAAAAAAATTAAATTCAATGTTTTGAAAAAATTGATACTTTATAACTTTCTACTAAAAATTAGAACGATTTGAACTTCCACGTTCTCAGTAAAGTCCTGAAACATGCCTTCAGTTTTACCATCTCAATAATGGTTAAACAAGCAGTTGAAAAAGTCTTGGTACTTGTATATCTAAAATCCACTAAAGCCAACTGTTTGATATATAAGCAGACACACGAGGACCAATAATTAACAAAACCAAAAAAAAAA